CTTTCTTTGTAGCTTTCAGTGTTACTACATTTACATAATCCATTAGCTATTTCAATGTGGTTCTGTATCATGCTAATTTAGCTTTTAGGGGAAGACGTTTTCTCATTGTTGCCTTGATGAATAACTTTTCCACAAAGATTAGTCTAAAATAACTATAACCGAATGCTAGATGACGTCAATCGTCTACCTGCCCAGACAGGTGAGGGGCTGGTAAAGGCCCCTTAAAGCCTGTCGGTTGTCTCCTTTAAGGTCGTGCGCAGCTCTCGGCTCACACTGCCGGATTAGTGTCGTCTTCCCTGATGACAGAGATGTCCGGCTATTGGCCGAGACCGAGAGGGCACGTCATCTCCATCAATCAGGGGGGCTGCAAGGTTCTCCTTTGAGGAATGTCCTCCCTGCACGCCCCGTCCAGCCGCCTGACCGTGCGTGGTTGTGGATACAAGAGAGGCCGGGCATGAAGTGCCCTCCCGTCCAATGATTATGCAGGGGAAAGGTGATTATGACTTCTTATTAGAAGGGAAAAGCAGCTCTCAGCTCTCTGCAGAAGAGGTCACAGTGCTGGACCCGGGCGGAAGGTCTGCTCCTGTACCTGAGGTAGACGCAGCTCCTGGATTTAGTTTGAGTCTATGTACCCAATCAGACAGCTGTCCTCTCCCTCCTCCTCTACCACCACAGTGTGAGGGTTTCCCAACACCGGCCTCCCCTCAAACCCCCTGCGTCCCCTGGCGGTGCACGGTGCAGGGCTCTCCAGGACGCAGACACTCGAACGCCGAGACGCATGATTTCTGTTTCGGGTCACTTCCAGAGGAAATAGACTCATCATTTAACTCTGGAGCCGCGGCGGGAAGTTTGGACTGTAATGGAACTGCAATGGATGACGGGAGCAAAACTTTTGAGTGGATGAGGGTGAAAAGGAGTCAGCAAAGATCAAGTAAGTTTTTAGAAAATGTCACTGAGCACATGTTTTTGTTTTTATTTTGTATTTTTAATAATGCAAGAGGAAAAATATGTTCTGAGGAAGTTTGGTTAAAGTTTTCATTTTTAAATTAAAAATCATAAAATGATATTAAGAAGTATTGCTTCTCCAAAAAAAAAAGTTCCCTCAAAAACATTGCCTCAACACACGTTTCAGTGTCAGCAGTAACTGTTTAGCACACATTTGAATATGCACATGTAGAGTCAGTTACCATTTCCTTAACGGTTAAGTTATTCATTTTGCTTTTGCCCCACCTCCTGCCTCAAGCAGCAGACTGAACAGAAAGAAGGAGAATGAAAAGCTGAAAAAGGCCAGTCTCAGAGTACACTCAGCCCAAAGATGTGATAAATTATGTAGCTCAGCTCTTACTAACCAGAAGACTTTGAATAATGCAACATGCTGCTGCCTGTCCAGATTCTCAGGAAGTTGAGTAAAACTTACTCTTGTAAGCTGGATTGCTCCCCAAGTATTGATTAGTTGTCTGTTTGTAATGAAAGCCCTTGTGTATTGATTTCAGTTTGAAGCACCTTTACATGTGTCCACCTTTTTAACATAATTGCTGTCACAGATCATCATTCCATTGACTGATGAGTTCTGGGCAGAGAGCCTGAAGAAGAACACATGCAGTATATCCCTCTTGGCCTTAAAATATCCAATCAGATGCTAATGTAAAGAAATGCATCAAATTTGCTTTGATAAAAGCTTCACATATAGATCCTTTACTTGATCAATAGTGTCACTTGACTGACTGAACACTGTAAATGTGTTGGGGTGTCATTATTTTTTTGCTTGAAGGGATTGCACAAGTGGGGGTGTCTCTCTGCAATAACCCTGATGTTCAGTGACCCACTTCAGGCCCTAAAAGCTCCTCTTAAATGTACGCGCTAAAACTTATATTGAAATCAAGAAACTTAAATGTGTTTCCTCCTAACACCCTGCTAGCTTTTAATTCAGGACTTTATGAGTTAAGGGAATAATGGTGCAAATTGTGCATTATATAGGCAAAGTTGGCCCAGAATAGCTTCAAGCACATTTTTTTTTCTATAAAATAAAGACTCACTCATTTGGTCATCTTTCTGCTGTGTTCAAAGGTACAACATTTCAATGAATGAGGTTCAGAAAGGAGGCACTTTCTCTTATCTATTTATTGAATATAAGTTATTTCTATTTGTAAGGAATGTGAGTGAATGAGCAAAAGTGATTAAACTATCCAGATTCGATTCTAACAGTATTTTCTTCTATGTGAGAACATTTATTGTAAATTCTATAAAAATGCCTAATTATAAATATACTTTAATTCTTTTACATAGTCTTTTAATTACAACTACAAATTTTAAAATTTGAAACCTATAGTCTTTGTGCTCCAGATTGCTTTGTTTAAGCTTCGGGATGCTCTGATTGTGGTGTGATTTCTAAATTTTGGACTTCAAATGGACAAAAAGCTAATTTAGTCCTTTAGCATCTGATCCAGTGAACAGTGACAACTTTTGACCCCAGTTACTACTAGCTCAAGTACACAAAAACTCTGTAAGAAAGTACCATTTGCTGTTAATTAAATAATCAATTACTTTGCAGATTCATTGTCCCTAAAATATGACAATAGCTCAGACATTAGCACAAAAACCGATTAAACCATATTACATCTATATACATCTTAAAATATAAATATTTTCAAAACATCTAAATAGTTTTACTGTTTAGATTTACTATTTTTTATATCTATAGCTGCAAATGTAAAGAATGAAGGTATACATTTTCTGTTGAAGGAACACCACTCTGCTAATCCCTGCTGGCTTGAGGCCTTAGCTTTGTGTGCTTATGCCTTGGGCTGGCTCGAGTTATAAAACATTTTTAAAGGTTACGCTTCAAACTAACTAAAATCAAAATGTATTTTATTTAGTTTATGATGTCAACGTATAAAGATTCCCATTAAAATTTGAAATGAGCCTGTTTTTTTAAGTTTTATCCATCTGACCAAGATTGTTTTATGCACCTTGGCTGAAGATTGCGAAGACAGAGTTGGGATGGAGATTCAAGCAGTATATCAATTTTTTATGTTTCAGGCCAATTTTGGCAGACATAAAAGTAGAAACAATTTAACGACACTGAAAAATGGCAATTAATAAAAAAAAATATGAATATTTTATTTGGCAAGATTATATCAATCAAGCTCCTCTTATTTCTCAAATACCTAAAGAAATCCTGAAAATAATATGATAAACAAAATGCTAATTCTAACTTCTATGGCACTGCTTGCACCTGCCTTATGCTTGCTCTTCAAAGGGTAAAATAAAAAAATAATCTTTATATATATATATATATATTTATTTGTATCTTTTGTTGCATCACCAAACTTAACTCTACATTTTCTTTGATCCTATTAATCTTATGTAAAAATTTTATAGTAACATCAAAAACATCTCAAACAACTCTTATATCATCTTGGGAATACATTTTTTGTTGTGTGAAAATTAGGGCAAAGACACATGTTATATGAATCATTTCTTGAAAGCAATTTCTAGATCACCTATTTGCTGATTTAAAAGTTCAGTTGGAGGACAGGTTATTTAAGCATATTTAAATTATCAAGCAATGCCATAATAAGCAACTATATCCACATCCATAATGTTTGTTGTTTTTGTTAATAAACTCATGAGAACAGTCAAATTTGTAAATCACATCCTGTTTCTGGTCACAAACTCACTCAAAGCTACTATCATAAGACCTGCTCATATGGATGAAGTCTGTGATCTCCAAAAAAAAAGCCACTGGCTGACAACCACCCACGCTAAGAAATGTGGCTTAGTTAGTATCTGTGCACTCTTTCTGCATCGCTCATAAGAAGATGATATGTATGAGAAGCTCATTAGCACTGCTGTGCAACTTGAAAAAAATCATTAGTGAAAGTGTGTTTTCAAGTGGAAGTTGTGTTTTGGTTTTTTTGGCACAAAAGATAAAGTGTTGGATACATTCTTCCCTGTTGAAAGGCCTCTGAAGACCTGCTGTAACCTGATCTCCTGGCTTGGTGTATATACTCCCTGTGCGTCATTCTTCAATTATGCCTTGACAGCACCTGAATTACTGTGGGCTGGATGCCCAGATGACTGAGGCAATGTGTATTGATCTATCCCCCTTTTCTTCTTCGCTCTCCTTAGCTTGAGAAGGGACCTTCCATTCTCTTTGCTGGCTGGCTATTTTTAAGCATGCAAGTCATTCCTCAAATATTTAGTTTGATTCTTTTATGCCTTCTGGCTGGCATCAATTCTATTATCTTTTCAGCCATTAATCAGAATGTGCATCTGATTTGCACTCTTGAAGCTAAGGCTCTTAATTACGAACAGCTTCTGTGTATCGGCCATTCATATTCACCTCCAGTGCAGCTTAGTTGTCTTCCCATTCATTTTTTAAAACACAGATGTTGACATTTATCCCATAACTGACCTTTCCATCTGCTGTGCTTTTGCAAGTGGCTGGAGGCCCGTTAACCTTCCTCTCAATGAAATGTGGTGGGAGGAATTACTCCACACCTGGCTCCATTATGCAGCAGCAGCACGAGGAGCAGCGCATTTTCTCAGAGGCAAAGACACACTGATGACAAGCCACAGTGTCAGTGATGAAAAATCAAGATATAGCTGCAGTCCCTGTCATTCATTGCACATAAGTAGCACAGATGATACTTTAATGTGTAACCCAGAAACCTCAGAGGACCAAAAACGGTGGCATTTGTCATTATGCAGCGTTTGAAAGGATTTGTAAACTCTTAAACTGTCATTGACACACGAAAAAGCACCTAAAGGCAAATAACAAATGGTTCAAATGAATACAGTTAATGGACTGTTAATGCAACAGTTCTGTGAATCACCCAACTTTCACTGCAGCTCAGTTTCCCTGCATGAACAGACAATATATTTTATATATCATGCTGATAGCCTTCAGTAAATAAGTAAGTAGTGTCCGTTCTAAGTTTTTTAAATTTTACAAGCAATGCGTTGAACTGTGATCTTACTATTAGAACCTTCTAGTGAAAGTTTCTTATCATCCCATTTTAACAGCATCAAAAATATTTTGTGATGTGCCTGTGGGGTGTTTTTAAAGTTGATAGTTCTCTGAAATACATCTTTGTTATACAGACAGAATTATGGCTCAAAAAGTGGAAACACACTGGCTCTAAGCCAGTGCTCACAAATCAGTTTCGTATCATTTAAGGTCTGCTGAAAGCTGCCCCCCTCCCTTTATCAGTTAATTCTTTTAACTGCCTATCTAATGCATGTTTTAAAATCTCTCATGTTGCAGAGAATTTAAATCTTTTCATGTTTATTTGTTTTTCTTTTAGCAAAGTTGAGCTTTTCTCACTTTTCTCTGTGCACTATTTAGTTCAATTGGGGTTTTTATGCTTCTTTTGTGATCCGCCTCATTGATCATGCTGACAACTGTTTTCATGCACTTTGTTCCCAGGCAGGATGCATATGACCTGCAGTGGTACAGGGTTCTGCTTGGAGGAGGTTGGAATCCCGGCTGACCGCACCACCGTGAATGGATCCCCAAGGACAAGTTTCAGCACCAAGCAGCTGACTGAGCTGGAGAAGGAGTTCCACTTTAACAAATACTTGACGCGGGCCAGGCGTGTGGAGGTGGCAGGCACCCTGCGGCTCAGTGAGACGCAGGTGAAAGTTTGGTTCCAGAACAGACGCATGAAGCAGAAGAAATTACAGCGGGAAGGGCTAAGTTTGGATCCCCAAGGTCCCCTGCACTACGGGCCTAATCAGGGAACCTGCGCCTCTCCCTGAACTCCTGAACCGCACCGTGCGTTACAGAGAGAGCGGTGGCTCCAGCCTGCCGGCAGATGTTTTCATTCGCGTTTGCATCGCTTGCAATCAGGCGTCACCTTTATTTGTTTACCACGATGGATGCTGCAGCCTGCTCCCGAGAAGCGCCATGGCAGGCTCCCTCCATGCAAGAAGGAGTAAAAACGATTTGTCATTCACCCCGGCTTTAGACTGGGAACTCTGATTTGAATATTGAAATGATTGCCATTTCATTGCGCTCCAGTGTGCACAATGTAAACGAAGATACAAACTTCTTTAATTAACCGTGGAAATCCTTGGGAGGCTATTTGATTGTGTTGGACCATTTACCAGGGACTGATTTTACTTGAATCTACCTGTTTAAATCTACAGCAAACATGTTTTTGTCTACATGCACGCAAGATAGAGATATTTATTTAAGGTCCGTTTTAAGCTGTTTTGCTTAACTCAAAACCTGTGGACAGCATGTAATCACTCACACGATTCAGTTTTTATTTTATATAAATATGCCGGCCAAGAATTTTGAGTAGCTATGAATTAACATACATCAGGTTAACTTTGTTAGTATATATATATATATATATATATATATATATATATATATT